TATATATATATATATATACAAAGTATATATGTGATGATTTTTGGATGACAAGCAGAATCTGAGTCTAAAAGAGGTTTATTATCTCTGGTTGCACAAAAATGAGAAGTAATAATCCATTCATGTGCAAGAGGCTGCAGCGTTGTCATGGCAACTGATATCCATTTTTATCCTTTTTCTGACAAGCTGAGAGGGCGGGAATTCCGACTGCCAAGATTTTTCCAAAATAAATGACCTTTCCTGAAGACTTTGAAACTATTCTATTTTGTTTATGCATCATTAATTCACAGTTAAATACTGTAGAAATTGTACAGTATCAAGAGGGGAAATTAACTACCACGGCGAAAGGTATTTTCGATCATGTTTAATGACATTATTTGTTACATTTTAATTCGGTTATTGACACTGGGATTAATTTAGGTCACCAGAATTCACGAGAATTGTTTATTTAAACGTTTTAAGTTGGGGAACATAAAACGACTTTTCCCAGAAGTCTGCGCGGTTGTTCCGTCACCTATGTCCTTCCCCCTAAAGCGCATGCACAGGGTTGCTAAAGGATTTAGCCTATTTTTGTAGTATATGTTGCTGACTCGTACACTTTAGCTCCGCCAGTCTCTCCTTTATGTTTTAATTTCTAAGGAAATGTTAGGAAGTGTTGCTGAGCTAGCTAACCTTTGAGGCAAGCAGCGGCTGAAAGTAAAAGAAACATGTCTCTGGTGAAGCGGCTCTGTGAAACACCTGCATTAAAACTTGTTTCACATTTGAGAGCGTGCAGAAAGAAAATTCACAACTATAACATATGCTGCACAGTGTTCAGACACCGCTGGATGAAAAGTGTCCCTGTTGTAAACAGCAGCTTCAGGAGGATTAACACGCAAGAGAAGGTAAAACGCGCACAGAAGAACCTAAACGCACCACCGACTGCCAGACTGTTGTGGCTGCTTCTTTTCACACAGCTTGCTGACTGTTTTCCTTCTGTTTGTAAGGAAACTGTGGACCTGTCCAAGTTCCCTGTGGACAGAATCAGAAATTTCTGCATCGTTGCTCATATCGATCATGGGAAAAGCACTTTGGCTGACAGGCTGTTGGAGCTGACAGGTACGGTTCTGTCTGCTTTGTAAACATCTGCATCCAGATGTGAATCACGTGCTTCCCAATGTGAGGGTCGTGCAGCTCATCGTAGGGTGCTTGAACATGGGTGCAGACACCAATACACTTAAAAACATTGCCAGTAGTAAATGTACCCAAAGTTGTTGTAAAATGACAAACGCAGTAGTTCTAAATTGTTAAAGGTTATGTAATAGTTGTTGAGGCCCTTTTAGCAGGTGGTTTAGGTAAAGTAGAAGTCTGAGTCTCTGGGACTTTCTCTTTCACATCAGTTCAGTTCAGTTGATTTATGTTGGGCCGAGTCACAACACGATGCCACTGAGGGTCCCAGTCTCTGTCTGGCACTTTGGTTTGCTTCAGATTTGTGTCGTCATGATTTGAGGCAACATCGATTTTTCGATTCAGAAACAATTTTTCCATTGAATTGGTCATAAATGTTGTTTCAGTTATGTAACTGACAAGCTGAAAAGAATAAACAATGTAAACAAATAGAACATTTATTTAAAGCAATCATTTTAGGTTCCTTACGTTATCAAATCTTTTTGCATCATTTTATATTTATACCAAAAATAGGAACAAATACAGGAGTGCATACAATTCTGTAACTTAAATTACCAGTATTAAATTAGTTTAGTTGCCTGAATTAAAAAATAATAATAATAAAATGAAAAATCTAGGAACAAATAATTCATCCATCCATCATCTTTACCCACTTCTTCCTTTACGGGTCACTGGTGTCACTGGTGCCCATATCAGCCATCACTGTGTGAGAGGCGGGGGACACCTGGACAGGTCTCCAGTCCATTAAAGACAAATAATTCAAAATACACTGCTCACAAAATTAAAGGGAACACTAAAATAACACATCCTAAACCTCAATTAATTAAATATGCTCATTGACACACTTTATTATTAGCACAGTGGAATTTACTGAGAAGAAAATAACACAAAAATTATCAATATAAATCAAAATTATTACACCATGGAGATCTGGATTCAGATTCATATTCAATATGAAAGTGGAAAATAACAGGACAGGCTGATTCAACGTCAGTGAATCTTCCTCAAGACTAAATGAGGCTCAGTGTGTGTGTGGCCTCCACGTGTCTGTAGAACCTCCCAACAACACCTGGGCATGCTCCTGATGAGACGCAGATGTTCTCCTGAGGGATCTCTTCCCACACCTGGATTAGAGCAACAGTTATCTCCTGAACAGTCTCTGGTGCCATGTGGCCTTGGTGGATTGACTGAAACATGATGTGCTAAGTTGGATTAAGGTCTGGGAAACGGGCAGGCCAGTCCATAAAGCCCCCAGTTTACTCCCGCGTACATCTGTTCATGCGTACGTATGTGTGTACTGTACACAGTGGGTTGAGACTTCATACTCAAGCGTCCACCCTGAGCGGCTGCAGAGCAGCTCTGCAGACAAGGGGCATTTACCTTCAGGACAAATTGAAGTCATTTGCTGACACGCCTACTGGATTGATTGACAGGTCAGAAAAAAACCCAAGAGCTGGCAGCCTCAGCTGCAGCGGTGTTCTGTGAATATATGTTGTTAATAAAAATATGCAAATAATAAAAAATGACAGGGAGCGCTGGCTCTGCAGCCCACACATCACATCAGCCCACCAGGAAATCTCCAGACCCTCCCGCAGCCACGCTGGACCTGAGTTTGATTCACTTGTGACAAATTCCTCCATTTCTCACTATTTCAGTCATGAAGTCAACGGAGGAGGAAGAGATCACTGCCTCTTGGCAAAAAAAACAACAGAAAACGCCAGATCAGAGATGAAGAAGAGGAATTTAATACATTGGTGTCACATACAAAACAGTCCGTCGCTGGGCAGTTTATTGTGCGACACTGCGTATGCGGTCGTAAAAATTGAGCTTTGCACGGACATGCCCTGGGGGGTACGCTCGTACTTCCACGTATGTATGTGCGTATCTCCGCGTATGGACGTATGCAGGAGTATACTGGGGGCTTTACATCGATGCCCTCATCATGCAGGAACTGCTGTCACACTTCAGCCACATGAGGCCTGGCATTGTCATGCATAAGAAGGAACCCAGGGCCCACTGCACCAGCATATGGTCTCACAATGGGTCTGAGGATCTCATCCCAGTACCTTTTGGCAGTCAGGGCACCTCTGGCTAGCACATGGAGGGCAGTGTGGACATCCAAAGAACTGCCTCCCCACACCATGACTGACCCACCACCAATCCAGTCATGCTGGAGGATGTTGCAGGCAGCATAACGTCTCCAGACTCTGTCATGTCTGTCACATGTGCTCAGTTTGAACCTGCTTTCATCCATGAAGAGCTCAGGGCACCAATGGTGAATCTGACAAATTTAATGTTCTCAAGCAAACGCCAGTCGTCCTGCACGGTGTTGGGATGTGGATGTTGGCCCTCATACCACCCTCATGGAGTCTGTTTCTGACAGGTTGAGTGGAAACATGCACATTGGTGGCCTGCTGGAGGTCATTTTGTAGGGCCCTGGCAGTGGACCTCCTGTTCCTCCTTGCACAAAGGACAAGGTAGCAGCCCTGCTGCTGGGTTGTAGTCCTCCTACAGCCTCCTCCATGTCTCCTGGTGTACTGGTCTGTCTCCTGGTACCTATTCCATGCTCTGGACACTGTGCTGAGAGACACAGCAGATCTTCTTGCCACCGCTCACATTGATGTTCCATCTTGGATTAGCTGCACTACTTGAACAACTTCAGTGGGCTGTAACAAACTCCTCATGATGCCTCTATGTGTGACAGAACTGACAAAATGAAACAGTGACTAAAGTTGAATCATAAAGGACGAGAACAGAGAAATGACCTGTGGTCACCACCTGCAGAATCCCTCTTTTACAGGGGTTGTCTCGATAACTGCCTCTCATTCCACCTGTTGTGTGTTTCTCTTGCACAGCAGCAGCTGAAACTGATTCACAATAAGTTACTACCTAACTGCTGACACTGAGTCCACAAAGGTGTGGCTGATTTGGAGTTACATTGTTTTGTTTAGGTGTTCCTTTTATTAAACAAAACAACAACAAAAAATTGTAGAAACGTTTCGTCTTTCTGCTGAAAGACGAAACGTTTCTACAATTTTTTTTTTTTTGAATGTCCAGAGGACCAGACTTAACTTTTTTAGATCTTCTGAACTGTAATAATTTATAAACCATAAACTGTCTCATTTAGAAGTGGCTCCAGATGATGTGTCTCGTCTCTTCAACCTGTTCAAAAGACAAATTACATAAAGTTTGTTGAACAACTTGTCTATAAGTTTTAGTTTAATGTGAGAAATAACAGTTACCTTTGATCTGCAGCTGCATCAGAGCTTCTAACATTTGTTGTTTCATGAAGTTGTGGAGCTGCTTTATCGCAAAAAAAAAAAAAAATCTACATGAAGGAATAACGTACGTTGGATCCATCGTATTAAAATAAAGCTGAACCCGTCACCTTCACTGAGCTGTCTGATCATAAATCCTTAGTGATGCAGCAGGAGGTGGAGAGAGAACTCTTCACAGTCTTTGGAGAAGCTGGAAGTTTGTTGCAGAGTTCACTGGTCGGCTGCCTGTCCTCCGTGCTAACAGGCTCCATTCAGATAAAGGGAGCTGGCTAACTAGCTGCTGTACGGTGGCCTACACGGCCCAATTCTTTGGCGGCCAAGTGCACACGTAATGTGATATGCAGTACGCTCGGGAGTAGAAGCAAAAAAAAATAAAACTTAAACGCATTTTAAAATTTAATTATGGGCCTTTAGAATTGATTCAGAATTGCCAGGACTAAGAATCTAGATTCTTTGAAAAATCTATTTTTTTCTGCACTCCTAAATGGCACTGAACAGAATTTTATACTTTAAAAGCCTAAAAAATGAATGGAGAATCATGCATGTTTAATGTTCTCTCCGTGCATGCGTGACTTTTCTCCAGGTGCTCCAGTTTCCTCCCACAGACCAAAAACATGCATGTTAGTGATGGATGTTAGTAAAATGGATGGATGGATGGATGGATGGAATTAAACTGAAGTGAATTAAATCTGATGAACCAGATTCTACAAAAACATTTATATTTAAATCTAAAAAAGTTAAGTCTGGTCCTCTGGACGTTCAAAAAACAAAACAAACAACAACAAAAAAAGTAGAAATGTTTCTTCTTTCATCTGAAAGACTTCTTCAGTCTGAGGCGCTGTATTCAGCTCATAGCTGTTTATAAAAGACTGAGCTTTAATAATTTGCTTAGGAGCACATACCATAATAATTTGCTTAGGAGCACTTACCATAAATCAGGGTCTCCTACCTTTGTTGCATCACGGACCAGTTTTATACAAGACAGTTTTTCCACAGACTAGCAGCAGGGGTGCAAGTGTGAGGGGAGGCCATGCGCATAACAAAATCCAATAAAATGCATCATATATATAATTTGTTAATGACCTCTTTCATTTAAATGTACTTTTAATTTTATATGTTGTAATATACATTATTATTTTATGGTTTATTTAAAAAAGCCCCTTTCTATCTAATCAAGATACTCAAAGTGCTTTACAACACAATCTGTGCCTCACTTACCCTCAATATATTATTTAATGTAATACAAATAGGGGTGAACCAATAAATCGGCCCGATTTCCTTAATTTTGGGGAATCAGAAATCGTCCGATACTTGCATGAGAACCCGATTTTACCGATTTTTTTGTTTGTTTTAACAACAATTGTCTGAACTTCATTTATATTTCAGAGCACTACCTCATGGCCAGTTAAAACAAGATGCATTGTTTCTAGGATATTGTTCAAGGGTATGTTTTTCAATAAAATAAGATTGGAAATTTGAATGTGCATTGTGACCTGATAACTAGGGATGCACCGATCCACTTTTTTTAAACTTCCGATCCCGATACCTAGATCTGAGTATCAGTCGATACCGATCTAGTTCCGATATCATGATCATCATAGATTTTATATGAGGCTGTAATAATCTGCTCTCAAGTACAATTTGTACAAATAT